TCACCAAACATTGAAAGGCCAATATTATTGCCATTACTGTTAATATATAGTAGACATTTTACACATTCAGTAATAAAATGCCACAGGGGAGGGTATGGGTTGGATGGTCATTTAAGAAGGAAGATGATGTTTAAGATTTTTTTAAGAAGGGGGCTATCTCCTTCATCCCCCCAACCCGAGTAATGTATATAATACACCTTACTTACCCTTTTTAACCATTAGTGTTGTGCAAGTTAATTCCAAAATGTAATATTTCCTATTTTAGAAAGTAATGTTTCTTTACAATATTACCATCTGTGTGAAGTATTAAGTAACTGAGTACTTTTTAGTTACGTTCGCCAAAATAAGCATTTAGGACAAGGCATTACAAAATGAAGGTGTGCAATAATTTGTCATGAATAGTTGAAATGAAATAGAATAAAGTAACAACAAAAAGCTTTACACAGCTTGATGCAAGCTATCTTTCTATGCTTCAATCATTACCTCCTGAGTAAAGTGAGATCACAGAAGGTTTAATAAAAAAGTCCCGTTTCTATGAAATTAAACATGACATCTGTTTTAACTATTTAAAAATGAACAATAATATTTAACATTAGTTAGTTTGAGTATATCCACATGGATAATGTAGCCATCTTGCCATCTTCTTCTAATATTTAAAAATCTTCTTCTGTTGTTTTAAAACTGTCCTGATATAAAACATAAAATAAAAACACTCCTCTCCTCTTCTTTGTTGAAGCTGTCGGATTTTTTTGATTGAAATACGTTACCTGTCTTCGGAACTGTTAAAATATTACCAACATTTATTTTGCAACACATCATATTATAATGTTACTGCCTGAACTTTATGTATTACGGTAATTCATTACTTTTGTAATGCGTTACCCCAACACTGGTAATCATCATGTATCTTTTAAGGGTTTCTTCAGCAACATTTAATCAAGTATGTTGAAGGGTAGTTTTCGGGTTGGATTCAAATGCACACAACACTTTTTAGACTTTTGTCATTTTCCTTTAACTATAAAACTACTTTTTTGTTTGTATTCAGTCACATAAAACCTTAATAAAACCCACTGACGTTTGAAGTGAGAATGTAGGTGAGTCCTACTTTTAAACAAAGCGTGCATGAGGAGAAATACGGTTGTGCATGCTCTTGCACGGGTTTGATAGGCGTTCCTTCTCAGGAGCAGGTACAGGGTTGTGCATGTGCATTTTTTTTTAAGTGGAGAGGGTGGGTCTTTTCAAAACTTCATGAAAATCCTGCACTATACCTTTAAATGGTCAAAATACCTTTGCAAGGCAATAAAACATTTTCTTAAGCTGAATTTATACAGTTTATCAAACCAACTCCTGTCTTCTGTTCTTCTGTCTCATCTTTTGTTGTTGTAATTTTCTTTATTCTAAAGACATTTAGCAATGACTTTTCTACAGTAATAATGAAAATTGGTAAACATTGCTTTTTCTAAAATTCTAATCATTTGGACCCAAATCTTTTACCCAGAGGTTTGGATCCTTTCCCTTTGTTGATTTATCTTTTTGAGGAAGTCTATTGTAGCTTAAACTGGCAGCTGATTTGGTGGGAGCATTTTCAGCAAGCTGAAACATTTCACTGAGGTCTGCAAACAGTATTTTGAGACTGCATGCTCATTATTACATTTCTAATTACATTTCACTTGATTTATTAATTCAAAAAATGCTTTAAAACAATCAAGATGACCAAAGCATTTAACATTAAGCACAAAAAACACATAAAACATTCAACCATAAAAGCATACAACAGGGAAATGAGAATCATAGATAAAAAATAAGCTAACATGCTACTGGATATTAACAGCTTGGCTAAAAATAATTAGTCTAAGGTTTAGTGAAGACAACAAGGTTAGTTTTAAAGCAAGTAACTAAAGGAAGTTTGTTTCAAAGTCAATGGGCCTCCACTGAAAAAGGCCCCGCTCACCCCTACACTTTAGCCTGGTCCTTGGAACATCCTGGTATCTATTTATGTACAGAAACTTTAAAAGTTCCTATCAATAAGGCATGGACAGACCATTTAGAACTTCAATATCAAAAAGTAAATGTTAAAAATTATATGTAAAATAAAAAGAAAGCCGATTTAAAGGGGACAAGACAGGGGAGATGGGCTTATGTGTGTTGGTTAAAAGATGGGAAGCCAGAGTTTATCACGATAATCAGGTCTAGAGCTAATAAAAGAATGAATGGTCTCAAAATTGCAGCAATTTGAGAAAGATTTAATGCCGGCAAGGAGATAAAAAGTTGATTTACCACAGAATTGATTTGTTTATTGAATTTAAACTGCCAGTTTTATATCACCCTTTGGTTTCTAACATTTTTATTTAACTTAAAAAGCAGGTGTTACTTATAAAAGACCAAGTAAAAGTGAATCCATCCTTTTTTTAATGTTTGATTTGAAAAGGATATGCTTTGCTAACAACAATGCCCTTAAAATATATCCAGGTATATCATAAAAACAGTCAGGAAATGCAAAGTTCAGGTAAACACATTGCTCTTTATTTAAGCAACAAAACCACAATGAAATTGTCATCACCTTCTTGTTTGTTCGATTTTTTTGTTTTTGTATGTTTTATTAGAACAGCAACAGTCTGGCAAAACCAGCTTAAGGCTTTTTTATTCCAGCTTTGACTGTGAGGTACAGTCTCACCAAGGTCCTGCCACAACAAGCTCCTTTTACAGTACACTTTATGGTTCTCACATGATGGACTCAAACAGTTAGCACCGAAACTAAAGCCTGAGTGGCTCTGGGAGACTGCAGCAGGGATGGGAAAATCCTCAGTGTAACTGGATCTGTATTAGTGTCATTTAGGAAAACAAAATGAGATCTTTCAAGAGAGACGTCAAGGCTGAGTGATACGGTTTGAATTGAATCCCCCCATAACCCGAAGCCCAGTCCCACCACCTTTACACAAGCTGTTCTTTGAGCAAACAAACAAACAGAGACCCCCAAAACACAAGATTCAGAAATATCACATTTCTGTCTACACTATAGAAAAACAACCTTGGTGAGATTTAGATTTTGGGTCAGAAACCCTTAAGTGTTGTCCTAGAAAGAAATGTTATTGATTTTGGCTTAAAAAGGCCAAGATTGTGGAACGATTGTAAACTACAATGATCAGCTG